TTTGAGGCCACTGTGGGCAAAAAGTTGGGCAGATCCCACCCATCTCAACCAATAGCTGTGCCTGGTAGCATGTGCCTGTCATCTCAGTTACATGGGAGACTGAGATGGGGAGGGTCATGGCTCCAGACTAATTCAGGCAAAAAACTTAACAAGACCCCATCTCAATAGAAAAAAGCTGGGTGTGGTGGCAGGTGCTTGTCATCCCAGCTACTGTAGGAGGTATAAAATAGGAGGCTTGCAGCCCAGGCTATCCTGGGCAAATAGGAGACCCTATCTCCAAGACAACCAGAGCAAAGGGCTAGAGGTGTGGCTCAAGCAGTAGAGTGCCTGTCTAGCAAGTGTGAAGTCCAAGTTCAAATCCCAGTACTGCCCCCCCCAACCAAAAGAAAGAAAAAGTTGCCTCACTAAACTGTCTGTAGTGATTTAAATGATTCCATCAGAAATTAATTCTGTTGCAGTAGGCATTGCCCTTCATCTAGGTTTCTTTCATTTCATTTCAGTTATGAGGTGGAAAAGCTGAGACTGGCTAGTCCAATGCCTGAATGTGACCCTGACCATGGTGTCTCCTGCCTTCCCATGGGCCTTACAACCTCTTCTCACAGTCCATCATCTGGGAATATTAGCGATGTTCGCACCTGTCTTCCCTGGCTTGCTGGAATGCCTCATTCTATCCCGATGCGCTTGGCTTTGCCTTCTCCCTGGTCTCCACTACCCGCACTGTGATTTAATTGGGAAATTTGTTTCTTGGTCTCTCCTGTCCTGTTTTCCTTCTAGGCCAAATTAATTGTATCCTTGTTTGTTTTCTCAGATATATAATAATGAATTCATTAAATCTTTGTTGTGAGACTTGACTCCTGAATCTCACCTGAAAGATGAAGGGCTCTTAAAGGGCAAAGCTGGAAACTTGTTATGTGTCAGCAGCCTGATGCAGGTATAATGCCTGACACGCAGAGCGAATGCTTGAGGGAGGAAGTGGCAGGCTGGAGGTGAGCATGAACCACATTAGCAAATTGTGTTTTCAAATGATGGAGATTCCAAAATTTGCCAAGAATTAGATACTTATGTGATATTCTTTTTCTCTCTCATTCTCTCTCTCTCTCTCTTTCCCTTCCAGTACTGAGGATTGAACCTAGAGCCTTGAGTACTGTGGTTTGAATTCAGGGCCTTGTGTTTGCTAGGCAAGCACTTTACCACTTGAGCCATGGCCCAGACCTTGTTGCTTTATCTATTTTTCAGATAGAGTCTTGTGCTTTTTGCTCAGGCTGGTCTTGGATTGTGAGCCTCCTACCCACACACACCACATAGGTGGGATTACAGGAATGAACTACAACACCCAGCTTGTTGAGCTGGGGTCTCGCTAACTTTCCTCCGGGATGGCTTCAAACTACAATCTTTCTGACTTCTACCTCTGAGTAGCTGGGATTACAGGCCCTCACCACCATGCCTGGTTCCAATTTTTTTTAAAATTTTTAGTCAGAGTCTTGCGAAATTGCTCAGGCTGGCCTTGAAACCTTGAACTGAAGAACTTCTTGCCTCAGCTTGCTAAAATAGCTGGGATTACAAGCATGGGTCACCAGGCCTGCAAGATGCTCCTTTTTAATGACTGGAAGTGAATTAATACACGGACTGCACCACATAAGTTCATTTTGGGCAATGACAGGCTGTGTGTATGACAGTAGTACTATGAGCTTGTCTGACTTAGTGATGGTTCAGTCATCTTTGTGGTGTAAATATATGCGGTGACATCCCCTCAATGTGGGAATCGTTTGATGATGAATTTCTCAGAACACACCCTGTTGTTTAGCTGTGCATGACTGAATCTTAGTAAATGAAGTAATGGAGCATTCATCCGGTTATTTTACCCATTAAACTTTTAGAATGGTTTTCTCAATATATTAACTCAATCCACTCTACTACTTGAGCTCATCCCTTGAGTCTTTTAAGATGCAATCGAGTATCTGTTAGTGGGGGAAGAGCTGGTGGAGATTCAAGTTCATTCTTGGCATCATTTAGTTGGCTTTCAATCTGGAATCCAAGAAAGGTCTCTTATGTTTGTTAGTTAGATGTTAGGGTGGGAGAGTCAGTCATGGAACATGGCTTAGCAGCCATAATCGCCCACATGTGTGCAATCTGTACCTTCCTGGCTACCTGTTATCTTGTCATTACAGCTCTGCAGACAGACAACAGATGACTTGAGGACAGTCTGGCTGTTTGGTTGTGGCAGAGGTGGTATGTGTGTGTCCACCAAGTAGACTGACTGTAGCCGAACAGTGCAATGATGTTTTGTTCATGTCCAGTGTGGGACAAGGATTAGCCTGTGGCCTAAATTCAGGTAGCACCCTATTTTTGTAAGGTGCATGAACTAAGAACGCTTTTTAAAAAAACATTTTTAAAGCATTGCAAAAAACAAAAAACCCTCACAAAAAAAGAATGTGTGGCAGAGACCACCTGTGGTTCATAAAGCTTAAACAATTTATAATCTGACCCTCTTTAGAAAAAATTTGATGATCTCTGATCCACGAGGATGTGAGCTGTTTTCTTCAGGGAATCAGGCTCTTTCAATCTTTTGGCTCCATGACAGGAAAGAGTTAGTGGAGAAGGTACACCTGCTTCTTAAAAATGCCAGCCACAGATGAAATGCATCATTGACTGAATCCAAGGGGGTGAAAATGTAGTCCCTGGCCAGGCAGCTGTGTTCTAGCAATAACTCCACACGGAATAAGGGGAAGCATGAATCTTTGTGCTTTTATTTTTTTTTCTCTCTCTCTCTCTTGCTTTCTGAAACATCTCACTTCTTTCCCTGTCCTTCAGCTTTTGAGTAATGAAAGCATGTTCTTTCAGTGTAACTAATCTGCACCTGATACAAAAACCACAGGCTTGTGCATCTCTCTCTGAGCCATGGATCAGAGAAGTGGAAGTAATATAAAGAATGCTGGAGGGCATCTTCTCTGTGCCAGAATCTTCTCCAGCATCCACCAAGGCTCCTGGTACAGAGCAAGTGCTCTGTGCATTGGGTGGCCTGACTTGCATACAAGTTTGCAGGAATGAGGGAAGGGCTAAAGACTTCTAAATGAAGATGGGACTAACAAACTTGACTCACAGCTGGAAGGATGGGTAAGATCTAGAAATAACAGTAATAATTCACAGATAAGACAGGCTAGTGCACTACAGATCCAGGGCATAACCTGAGATCTATGTGACTCTGAATCTTACACTCTTCATGATTGTGAGGATAATGAACGTTCCTGAGAACTTTGCTACAACACCTGTCTGTAGCACAGCAGTCAGGCCAGGCTTCTGCAATGTTGGTGTGTAGGAAGTGTCTCTGTCAGGAAAGGACATAGAGAGGGTGAGTGCTGACCTGAGGTGGCCAGATTGCAAAGAAGAGAAAATGGGAAGGAATTGTGTTCTGAAATTTCAAGGGGCCAACAAAAGGCAGAGACTCATAGGACTGCAATGCAGTGTATTCAGCCGGGAAGCCATGTTTACAGTCTGCCCCTGTCGGGTGTTGGAGCATGGACAGGTGTGGAGAAGATACAACAGGAACCTGACGACTTTGGCTGTGCTCATTTCTGGGTTTGTATCCCTACATGATTTCTTTGCCAGGAAATCATGGGATGTTGAACCAGAAGGAAATTGCTTAATTATTTATACAAGAAAGGGAAAGTGCTTTAGACTTTGGTTCATATTCTAGTTGAGGCCATTTGTGACCATATGTAGAACATTATTTTTTTTCCTTCAAAGGATCAGAATAGTGAATAATTTGCCCAAGGTTACAGAGCTCATACACAATTGTTTTAACCATTTGTGACTGCTTACAATGTCACTCTGAAACCCAGTGGCTTAAAGTAGCAACAGTCAATTACTTAGTTATAAATTTGTGATTTGGGGAGGGCTCAGAGGAAAGAATGGTGTCAGCTTGGTTATCTCAACTGGGGGCTGGAGGATCAATTTCTCAGATTGCTTATTCACCTGGGCTGGTGTGTTGGTGGTGGCTGTCAGTGGGTACTTGGCCAGGGTTGAAGGCTGGGAGCTTAGTCCTTCTCCACCTGAGCCTTTCCACAAGCGGCTTGGGTTTCCTCACACTGTCATGACTGGCTTTCAAGAAGCAGAAAGTGGAAATTTGCAGTTTCTTAAGGTCTTGGAAACTGTCAGAGCATCACCTTCTGTTGTCAGTCACAGAGCCCAGATTCAAGGGGAATGACTATTGTGTCTACTTTTCAATGTGAAGTGTAAGAATTTTGGGCTGTGTTTTAAAATGCCATAGTAATGGAGATACATTTTCTCACTCAGTCTTAAGGTAGGAATTCATTGCTTTCTGCCTCTTATTTATTATCTGTTTTTAAGAACAGGAATTATCTAGCTTGCATTCAAATTCAATCTGTTGATTCTATGTCTTAATAGCTATAGTCACTCCCTAGGCCTATTGACATTTCCTTGGATTAGGCCATCCCCTAATATTTATTGACCCATACATGATGCTAAAGGCTTTCCATGGATAACGTAGCTTAAAATTTCATACCTCTATTAGGTTCTCTTACATTTCATGTCAGGGATGCTTATTCAGGAAGCCACACTCTTCTTTGGCAAACTGTATCTACTTGAAGTTTTTCCTATCCACAATGTCCTCTTTGGTGTCTGGGATTTTATACTCAAAATATCCTCTCTACTTCTTTACCTTTCATCTTACTATTTTATACTTCTCTTTCAGGTTCAAGTTTAGTTCTCCTTCAGGAAGATTTCTCAAGACTGTTTGAGCTCTCCAGCTATTTTCTACCAAAATATCCTTTTATTCCTACCCAGCACTTTTCATTTTGTATTGAAACTGTTTATATTCTTGTACCCATCACATATGTTAAATTGTTTGTGGGCACAGATAGTGTCTTGACTTCACTTCCCTATTTTTCAGTGGAAAGTATTTTAGTCCAACATCCTCTAAGGTTCCCTTTGAGCTTCATTAACTATGAGGCTATGAGTTTACTGAATTCTCACTCCCAAATATGCAGACATATATGCAAAACTGGACCCAGGTTACAGAGTTTGTCATGGCAGGCTTTGCGGGGGTTCATGAAGCCCGCCTCCTTTTCTTCACACTCTTTTTCATCATGTACCTGTTCACTTTGGCAGAGAACTTGGCCATCATCTTAGTGGTGGGCTTGGACCACTGCCTACGAAGACCCATGTATTTCTTCCTGACACACTTGTCCTGCCTTGAAATCTGGTACACTTCAGTTACGGTGCCCAAGATGCTGGCTGGTTTTATTGGGGTAGATAAGGGCAAGAATATATCCTATGCTGGCTGCCTGTCCCAGCTTTTCATCTTCACCTTTCTAGGGGCAACAGAGTGTTTCTTACTGGCCACCATGGCCTATGACCGTTATGTGGCCATTTGTATGCCTCTTCACTATGGGTCCTTGGTGTCCTGGGACACCTGCATCCGTCTGGCAGCTGCATGTTGGCTGATAGGGTTCCTCACACCCATTTTGCCCATCTACCTCATGTCTCAGCTGACATTTTGTGGCCCCAACATTTTGACCACTTCTTCTGTGATGCCTCACCTGTGCTAGCTTTATCCTGCTCTGATGTAACCCTGAAGGAGACTACAGATTTCCTGGTGTCTCTGGCTGTGCTCTTGGCCTCCTCTACAATCATTGCTGTATCCTATGGAAACATTCTCTGGACACTGATGCATATTCGTTCAGCTGCTGAGCGTCGGAAGGCCTTCTCCACCTGTGCAGCTCATCTCACTGTGGTGAGCCTGTTTTATGGCACACTTTTCTTTATGTATGTCAGGACCAGGGTGGCCTCCTCCATCAACTTCAACAAGGTGGTATCTGTCTTCTACTCCATTGTCACACCAATGCTCAACCCTCTTATCTATAGTCTTCGGAACAAGGAGGTGAAAGGAGCCCTGTGCAGGGCCTTTTTCCCTAAGTCTTGGAAGGGGCAGTAAAGAGACAGGTGGGGGATTTTCAGGTTCCCTGCTTTGGATATTTACTTTTATTGTATTTTCCCCTGTTTTTCTATAGAGACTTTCTAAATCAGACTGATTGGATTGAATATTTACAAATAAATTTCTATTTTATTTTTATACAATTTATATTTCTTTGCTTTGCTTTTATGCTTCTTTCATATTACTTCTCCATTTAATATCTAATTTCTTTGACCTCTTTTGTCCTGTCCTGTATCTGGAGGTCTATCTTTGTCCCAAGATTTGGGAAAAATTCTGGTATAATTTTATTATATGCCTTTAACTTCTACTTCTTAAATGCCTGCCCATGATTTAGGTTTAGTCGTCTTATGGTGTCCCAGAGATTTCTTATGTTCTTTTTGTACTTTATCTTTTCTTTATTACTGTTCAAATATCCTAATTTGTCTACCTTGTCTTTAAGCCCTAATATTCTGCCTTCCACTTGGTTTAATTTACTGGTGAGGCTTTCAACTGATTTTTTTCTTTTTTAAAGATTCATTTACTGAGCTTTTTATTTCCAAAATTTCAACTTGATTGCTTTTCAGATATATATTGCTATTAAATTCCTCTTTCATATTTTGGATTGTCTTCCTTATTCCATTCAGTGCTTATTTGTATTGTCTTTGAATTCATTTAGGTGTTTATTTGTGTCCCCTTTGATTTTTTTGTCATTCTTTTGAATTCTTTGTCTGGAATTTCATCTACTTCACTATCATTAGAGTCCATGACTGTGAAATTAACTGTTTGAGGAGTCATGTTGTCTTATTTTTTCCTATTTTTCATGTTTCTTCATTGGAATTTGCACATTTGATGCCAAGTCATTGGCTGCAGGTTTTAATCACTATAGTCTTTCAATGAAGTTTTTGCAATGTTTGTGCAGGATTAGGTTTTGGCTGGGTTGAGGTGCAGTTTCTCATAATTGGACTGTGGTGTAGCTCAGTAGCCAAACATTCACCTAATGTGCTCAAGGCACTTGGCCTGGTCCATAGTACTACTCAGAGGAGTAAACGAGCCGCAGAGACAACCACAATTGATAGCAATACTGCTATGGAAATACAGTAATAACCAATTAAAAATATTTACCACTACACCTCCAATACTATCAGAGGAATAAAGGAGCAAAGATAATACTGCATGAACTAAGAAGATATGAGCTTATTAGCTACCCTTATTAGTGTAGGAATGGAAAGAAAATAGGAGGAATAATACTAGCAAATAGTTCTAGAATAAAGAAAAAGTCAAAGGAGAAAAAGGAAAAGTACCCAGCAAATATATAAACAACCAAAAAGCAAGGAAAATGAAGAGGGATTATGGGTAGAGGAAAGATGAGAAAGATGAAGAAATAAATGACCTAATTAAAGACAGAAAGAGAATAAAAATGGGTAAGGAAGAAAAGAGAGAGAGTAAGAGGAAAGGATTAAAAATTTAATATTAGAATCTGAGTGTGGTGGCTCACATCTACAATCTCAGCACTTGGGAGGCTGAGGAAGGGAGACCACAAGGTCAGTGGCTCTGTGGTGAGAGCAACATCTAAGAACAAACAAACAAACACAAGCAAGCAAACATACCCCCCAAAACAAAAAGCAAAAAACAAAAACCCCTCAAACCCCAAACTCAAGCCAAAAAATAACACCTGCTACCATAGCAATAAGAAAACAGGACAGGGTAAAATAGGTTAAAGAAATTAGATATTAAGTGGAGAAGTAATATAAGGAAAGCATAAAAACAAAAACAAACCACATAAAAAACAGAATAAAAATTATATGTCTCTATAGAAAAGCAAGCAATCAGAGGAAAGAAAGAAAAAAAAAAAGAGGGAAATTGGAAAGAAAAAAACCAACAACAAAAAAGGAGGACAGGCTTCCAGTCTTGGAAGGGTATCAATTGTGTAGGCAGCACACAATTGACATATGCTGACTGGCATTTCTTTCTCTGGCCACTTTGGCTGCATGCCACCCAGTGACAACACAGTCTGGAGCCTTCATATGTCTGGTCCAGGGTCAGAGAAGTCTGATGGGGGTGCAGAGACCAGTGCCTTGATGGAAAGATGGATGTTCCCCCTCCAGGTCTCTGACTTTCTGAAACTTAGCTCCTGCACTAATCAATCACTTGCCACTGCTCCTTCCCCTTCCCAGAGCTCTGGTAGCTGCTTTCCTACTTGACAGACCAGTTGGGAAGTGGTTTCCACTCCCTTCTGTGACTCCAACCAGTTTGCCACCATGTGGAGCTCTCCAAGTCTCTGACTCAGTCTTTCACCTGTAGCTAGACCAACTCTGCAGGGCTAGCACCTGGTGGATAAGCACCTGCCACTCACTGTGGATTCCCAGAGACAGGTAGGAGAACTACCTGGATTTCTAAAGCTGCAAACTCAGATAGAGTACTCTTGAAGGAACTTCCTGCCACTGTGCCATGACTGACGCCAGGAAGAATGGAGAACTTTCCCAGTGCCTTTTACTATGTGGACTCCAGGATGCATGCCCGGTTAGACTATAGATTTGCTTGATATTGAGTCCAGTTTTAGTCATGCTTCCTGGGTCTCTCATCCTTTTCTTCTTCTCTGCCCCTTCTCTCTGCCAGTTCTGCTGGTCTGCTCCCTGAAGCACTCTCTCTGTCTCCTTGTTCTACTCTGTAAATTTTCTGTTTATTTTTTTAAAATAGGATTCTGTTTGTGAGTTTTCTGAGGCTCTCACTCTTTGTTTTTTTGCTTTAGACTCTTCTCTCTGCAGCTGTGTGTTTTCCACACTCACACTGGACACCGTGCCCAATGGAGTGGTCTTTTTCTTCCTCTGTTCCACTTTCTAAGATTTCTATTTTTAAAAAGTGTGTTTATGTTTATTTGCCACTGAAATGTCAGTGCCTTTCCACCATCACCTACTTCAAAGAGTAGGTCTCCAGCTGCTCCTGGTCTATTTCCTGGAGATGCTAGAGATTGGTATGTGGCACTAGACTACCAACACCTATTTGTTTTTTTGGAGACAGGGTCTTGCTATGTAACCAGGCTGGCCTGGAATTGCTGAGCTGATATAACAAGAGAAATTTAACTATACTGTAATTTAAAAAATAGGCTCTTTCCAGCAAGAGTACAAGGTGAGTTCCAAGTTGATGGGTAACTCTGCTCAACAGAAATCCAAGAATCCAGGTTCCTTCCATTTTATAGGGACAACACTCCATCCCTTAGGGTGTTTGCAAAATCCACTTGATGACTTATTTTTTAATGGCTTGTGAGAGAAGAATGATTTTTATACTTTTAAGTGGTTAAATAAAAACTAAAAAGAACAATAATACTTCATAGCAAAACTTTTACACAATTTAAATAAAGTTTTATGAGGACACAGGGACACCCATTTATCTTGCTACAATGACCGGTAAGGAGGCATTTGTGCTATAACAGCAGAGTTGAGTAGTTGTGAGAGATTGTTTGCCAATCTCTAACCTAGAGCCTAGAGCCATGTGGTTATTTACAGGTCAATGCTGGGCAAGAGGGTAAGGACAGAGCACTTAGGAGACACTTCTAGCAGCTTCAGTTTTCTTGACCCAATGCAGCAATGATCACTTTCGTCATCTTTGGTGAGAAGTGAGCCATATGTCACAGCTAACAATGATGGTGGTAAAAATAGTTGGGCAGCCAGATGCTCAGCCAGAAGTTTCTACCACAGACTAAATCCCCAGAATCAGAGCTGAATTTCCATGTGGTTTCTGTACTTAGTCTTTTTGATATTTACACTCTCTTATTTGAAATATAGGTGGATCCTACCTTTACATCAGATGGTGTTGGAAATTGATTTGAGATCTCCATGGCAATGTCAACTCTCTCAAAGAAAGGCTTAAAAAGACAATTATAATTCAAGTAGTTCTCTACATGTAGACAGCTGCTTTCCTAAAGACATTTGGAATTGTCATTTGGAGTATATACGTTGATATTTGAGTAGGTATGAATACAAAGTGAATTAGAGTTTTAGATTTCTGACTGATGGAAATAAAGCAAAACATTTTGGGTTACAAAATTTTCATTTATAGTAGCAGAATGAATTCATATTTAAACTCAAGGACTATTTTCTAGATTTTGAGAACTACTGTAAGAATAACTCTACAGGAAAGTCAATAAAGTTTATCATTTTGAGAAACTTGAAGAATAAGTCTGTATTTTTGAGGTAAATTACATAAAATGGTAAAAATTCTGAAGCATACTCTTAGGAAGGATGCTATAGTGATCTCACTTTAATGAACCATGATACAGAAAACTAAACTGGAACTCCCCACCTTTTGTGAATGTGATTATTTGCATTACAAAAGTAAAATAACCATTCTCTTAAAAAACATATTTACTTACCATAATCTAGGAGGTGGAGGTATTGCCAGGTTATGGTTTTAAAGCCACTATTAATTTCAGGTCAGTCTTTAATAAAGATAATATTGAAATTATGAGAGGAGAACCCATATTTTTGTAAATAGAAAATTTCTGAAAATTAAATAGCTTTTCTGAGAGGTATATCTATTCATAGAGTGAAACAGAGGCATGTGAAGTTCTGACCTAATATAGACACTACGTCATTGATATCCAGAGATTGTCACAGAGTAATTTTATATACACAAGATCTATTAGGCTGGAATTAAATAAAAAGTAATGCTTATCTTGTTTTGCCCCTTTGGATAGTAGGATATTGACTTAGTTGTTAGTTAAAACTAACAACTTGGGAAGATTCTTTGACTTGGGACTTTTTGGCAATCATTGGGTCTCCACTCTGAAATATGAACTTTGTAGCATTTCATAGCCTGCCTGAGTCAAAAGCTTTGAAATAGGTCTACTTCACTAAGGCCCATCTGAGCTTTCTTCTGTAGTTCAGTGTTCTGCTCCCTTATGTGTGTGCTGGGATTTCCATTTCATTTCTCAGAATCTTTTGGTCTTAGTCTTCTGCTTTCTGATTTTCACATGTCAAGGTGTTAGTAGTCAATCTCTAAGGCATTTTTCTTGGACACTAACT